AAACCAATCATTATGGCCGAAGATAGGAAACTATTACTGGTTGAGCCTGAGCCACATGCCCACCCTTGTGACCAAGAGAGAGGGAGTCTATGACTGCTAGCCCTTATCAGGACCAGGTTGAGGTAGGGAGAAGTGCTTTTCTAAAACAATGGATTTCCTATTCCAAGCAGATTAAACAACTTATCATGCTCATGAGAAGAAAAAAAAGGAGCACAAAGTTATATATATGATCAATTCTGTTGATTTTGGTTTTTTTATGTCTTCTATCATTTGTAATGAGAGTAGTGTATTAAAGTCTCTTTTATTATTATGAATCTGTGTTTCCTTGTATCACTTCTACTTTTTCTTCTATAAAGGTGAATATTAGAATTGATTGGCAGCTGCTCACTTTCCTTTCTTGGGCTCTTCTGCTGCCCTTTCTGGTCCCCCATGCTCAAATTCCTTCCAGTCCCTGGTTTCCTTGTTTGTTTGTTTTTTAATATCTTTATTGATTTCAGCGAGAGGAAGGGTGAAGGAGAGAGAGATAGAAACATCAATGATGAGTCATTGATCAGCTGCCTCCTGCACGCCCCCTACTGGGGATCGAGCCCGCAACCGGGGCATGTGCCCTAACAGGGATTGAACCACAATCTCCTGGATCCCAGGTCGATGGTCAACCGCTGAGCCACGCCCGGCCATGCCCTGGTTTCTGCTTTTAATGTTACAGGTATTTAATGTCTGCTGGCCTACTTTACTGACACTCTAAAGATGGACACTATATCCAATAGTGATAGCTAACATTTCTTGACCACTTATTATGTGCTATGTACTGTGACATGCATTATTTAATTTAATCCTCTTTGTAGTCCCCATTCAGAAATTTCTATTATTATTCCCCTTTTTTACAGGTGAGAAATCTAAAGTACAGAAACAACTTCATCAAGGGTCACCAAGCTGGTAGATGGTGGAGCCAGGCTTTTAATCCAGTCTAGCTCCAGACCTATGCTCTGTAATGTATGTAAACACACAGAAAAGAGACTCAGAGAACACACACCAGACTGTTTTAATCCATTACCTTGGGAGAGCAGAATGGGACCGAGGAGATAAAGTAATCAGTGGAGTCAGTCATGCTTTGCACTGTAAATGTTTACTTTTGACTTTTTGTTTGTTTGCTTCTCTTTTATCTGAGATTTGCCTCTTTTAAAAGGAAATCACTTAGGTATTAATGATGTTGGGTTTTTTTTTATTTTTATTGTGGTAAAATATACATAACAAAATGTACCATTTTCACTCTTTTTGGGTATACAGTTCGGTGGCATTAAATAAATTCACAGTGTTGTGCAACTATCACCATCATCCACCTACAGAACTTTTCTATCATCCCAAACTGATACTTGGTACCCATTGAACAATAACTTTACATTCTTCCCTCTGCCCAGCCCCTGGTACCCACCATTCCACTTTCTGTTTCTATGAATTTGACTACTCTAGGTATCTCATAGAAGTAGAATCATACAGTATTTGACTGGCTTATTTCTCAGCATAATGTCCTCAAGGTTCATCCATATCAGAGCATGTGTCAGAATTTAATGCCTTTTTAAGGGTGAAAAATATTCCATTGTATAGCTATACCACATTTTGTCTATTAGTCTTTCAATGGACATTTGGATTCTTCCCACCATTTGGCTATTGTAAATAACGCTGCTATGAACATGGGTGTATGCATAGTTGTATAATTTTTTAAATCCTGATAAAATACTTACAGAATGATCCCATTTATATTTGGTGTGTGAATCATATATAGGAAATGTAGGTAAATGTGTAGAAAAAGATCTGAGACTTACACATTAAACTTTTGAGTCATTTCAAAAGTTTGTGTAGTGAAGGAAAGGACTCTATAACTTTTTATTCTGTATATTTCTGTATTTTTTATTTTGCGTAATGAGAATAGATTAATATAATCCCTATGCAATTTTAAAATGCAATTAAAAATAAAGATTACGATTTCAGGCATCATGGCAGGCCATGGGCAAGGAATATTTAGAGCAACTTTCAAGGGGTTATAAGATTGAAGGCATAAAGGAAAGCTTACATACCTGTGTACTATTTTAAATTTTTATAAGGTGCATTTTTTTTTTTTTTTCAGTAAAAAAAATTATATTGGTAAAAAAAATCAAAGGCCTGCCTTGGAATTGCACTGGCAATTGAGGCCCAGAGGAGGGCAGTAGAAAGCCATGAGGTGGAAACCCCAGAGAAGTTCCTCAGTCTCACCTGGAAAAGGGCCAAGGATTCTAAACTTCCATGTGAGAGCTAGGACAACCTTGGGTACTTCTGATTCCACTGGCAACGGTGCTGGCCAAACTTTGGGAGAAAGACAATCAGATAAAAAGGGGGAATCATCAAACAGCAGTCCAGGAGCAGAGTTCTGGGGTGGATGACCTAGAGAGATTTCTAGGGGTCTTGGGGACAACATAGCCCTGTTTAGAAGCATCAGATGAATCCTTGAACGCTGATCTGCTTTTTAAAGTGGACAAGGATAAGGATTGGCCAACAGGCCGAAGCTTTGAACTCGGGATTAGGGGGCAAGTGTAAGTACAGGGTCAGAGTCTGTGTTTATTTAAAATGTTTGACACTTTGGCCCGGCCGGGTTTGGCTCAGGGGTTGAGCATTGGCCTAGGATCCAGAAGATCGAGGTTCGATTCTCAGTCAGGGCACATGCCCGGGTTGCGGGCTCGATCCCCAGTAGGGGGCATGCAGGAGGCAGCTGATCCATGACTCTCTCATCATTGATGTTTCTCTCTCTCTCCCTCTTCCTTCCTCTCTCTGAAATCAATAAAGATATTTAATTAATTAATTAATTAATAATAGACTATTTGACATTTTGTACATCATGGATTTTTCTGTATTAATTTTCATATTTAAATATTGCATTAAAATATTATTTATCTGATTACTGAGTGTTTGGGCACCACTTATATTTTGTGCCAGAGGCAAGTGCTTCATTGGGCCTCAGCCTAGTCTGGCAACAATAAAAACAATAACAACGTCTGAAGCAAGAAGTGGGATTTTAAAGTACATATATGATGAACAATTTTAATCAAAATTCTACCCCAGAATTTGAGTGAAATGAATTCTAACATGCCATTCATGTGAACCTACAAATAAAATCATATAAGTCTATGTTAAAGCAAAAAAGAGCAGTGTTTCTGTATCCATTGTGACTATGAAGTTAATATTCAAATTAATTTGAAAGCTATTTCTGAAATATTAGCTTTAAGATATTCTCTATCAACTGTCCATCACTAGAAAAAAACCCTGATTTTAAGAGTTGACAGATATATTCTTTCACTTTTCAAGCATCACTGAGATTTTTTAAAAAATATGCCTGTTTACGGTTTTTTTCCTAGCTTTATTGAGATATAATTTATATATAACATTGTGTAAAAATAACATTTTCTGATTTTTATATTTGTAAAAGGTATTTGGGGAGCAGTATTATTTAGAGTTTCAGTGTGAAAATGAGTTTTATTTTCCAAAAACTATTTAATTTTGTTCTATTTCAATGGCCCCAAAAGGATGATTTCAAAGATTGCTACCCTTATAGGCTGGGTTCTTTCATCTCTTCTCTATTCATTTTAGAGATGATGAAATAGACTTTTTAAAAGGCCTTTAGCACACAACCCTTTTATAACGGTTGCCCTGATTACCCACTCCAGTTTATTTTCACCTATCCCCTCCCCACATTATTTATTTTGGCCATATGGAAATGAAGTTCCCTCAACCATGTTTTATAAATATTGATTTATCTCTCTGCAATGCAATGTTCTTTCCTTCCAAGGAATTCCTACTCTCATTAAACAACAAATTTAAAATCCCACCTCAACTCAAGGGTCATCTCCTACAGGAGTCCCAACTCTGAATACATACTCCTTTTGTGTGCTCATGTGGCACTGTACACTGTGACATCAGAGCCTGCATGACATTACACACCCACACTCCCTTTATTTACATGTCTGTCTCTCACACTAGATTAATCACTCCTTGAAGGCAGAAACTATGTCTATTTTAATGCTCAGTGCCTAGTGTCACATAACAGACACTCAGCACTTTTTTTGTTGAATGAATGAATCATCCTTGCTACCTTTCTTTCCCTCATGCCCCATAGCCTACCCATCATCTAGTTCTACCCACCATCAAAATATTTCTCAAACGCAGCTGGTGCGGCTCAGCAGTTGAACATCAACCTATGTATGAACCAGGAGATGGAGTTTGATTCCCAGTCAGGGCACATACCCCAGTTGTGGGCTCAATCCCCAGTAGAGGGCATGCAGGAAGCAACCAATCAATGACTCTTTGTCATCACTGATATTTCTGTCTCTCTTTCCCTCTCTTTTCCACTCTCTGAAATCAATAAAAACATATTTTTAAAAAATATTTCTTAAGTTTGTCAATTTTTCTCCATCTTCACCACCACCACTCTGCTTCAAGTTACCATCTTCTATCACCTGGACCACTGTAACGAGGTCCTAATTGTCTTACTACTTTCTTCCACTTGTGTCCCTTCAATCTATTCCCTATACAACAGCCAGAGTGGTTTTTCTAAAATGCAGATCTTAACATGTCACTCTTTAACCAGAAACTCTTTAGTGGTAGCCCATTCTTCCTAGATAAAATTAAATGCACTTAAACCTTGCTGACCAGCTATTTCAAGCCAGAAGTCACCCATGCGGCTGGCCACTTTGCTCAACAAGGTGTTTAAAATTACTTAAATTAATGTAAGTGCAGACACAAGTTATCTCGTGACGGATCAGCAATTTTCAGACACGGATACACGTGTGTACTAATGATCGGTCAGCAAGGGGTTAACTTGACCTACACAACTCATGCTTCCCTATGGTGAGATTATGATGTCAGAATATGACACACAATGATAATGATGTCATAAAGCCCTAAAACAGGCTGAAGCATATTAAATACAGTAGTTTCCTTGGTAGAAGAAACATTTGAAGAAAGCCCTGGACATGAACCTTTTTATTTATGTCCTACTTTTGTCCATTTGGACAAATAGTTGTTTAAATGCAAACCAAAGTGATGGATCTTCTACTACAGGTAAGAACCTAACCTTAATACCTAGAAGTTATGATTACATTATGCATTCAAGTACCTAATTAGACAAGCTAGCTGTGTTTAAGAAATCTGGTGTTTCTTGGATATTTCCATTAGTAGGTCTTTAAGAATTTCTAGGATAATATATGAGAGTGTTTATTCTTGTTTTTAAATTTATCATTATTATTGAAAGATTTACAGATGTCCCCCTTTTATTTCCCGCATTGACCCCTTCCTCCATACTCCTGCCCCCTCCCCAGGCCTTCACCACACTATTGTCTGTGTCCATGGGATATGCATATATGGATATAAGTTCTTTGGTTAATCTATTTCCCCATCCTTCCCTCTGATATTTGTTAGTCTGTTCCATACTTCCACATCTCTGGCTCTATTTTGTTCATCAGTTTATTTTGTACATTAGATTCCACATATAAGTGAGATCATATGATATTTGTCTTTCTCTGACTGGCTTTATTTCGCTTAGCATAATATTCTCCAGGTCCCTCCATGCTGTCTCAAAGAGTAAGAGATCCTTTTTTTTACAGCTGTATAGTATTCTGCTGTTTAAATGTACCACAGCTTTATTTATTTTTGTTGATCCATACCTGAAGATGTATTTCCCATTAATTTTTTAGAGAGAGTGAAAATGGGAGGAGAATGAAACATTAATGTGAGAGAGATACATGCCTAGATATGTGCCCTTGACCAAAATCAAACCCTAGACCCTTCAGTCTATGAGCTCACGCTCTAACCACTGAGCAAAACCAGCTGGTCCCTCTGCCCATTTTTTAAAATTTTCTTTTTAATTTATCTTTATTGTTGAAAGTTTTACATATATCCCCTTTTTCTTCCCACTGACCCTCTTCACCCTCCTCCCTCCCCCTCCCCAGGCTTTCACCATACTATTCTCTGTGTCCATGGGTTATGCATATATGCATATATGTTCTTTGGCTAATCTCTTCATGCCCCCACCCCTTTCCCTCTGCTGTACGTCAGTCTGTTGCATGCCTCAAAGTCTCTGGGTCTATTTTGTTCGTCAGTTTATTTTGTTCATTAGATTTCACATTCGAGTGAGATCATGTGATATTTATCTTTCTCTGCCTAGCTTATTTCACTTAGCATAATACTCTGCAGGTACCTCTGTGCTGTCTCGAAGGGTAAGAGCTCCTTCTTCTTGACAGCTGCACAGTATTCCATTCTGTAAATGTACCATAGTTATTTTATGTATTCATCTACTGATGGACACTTGGACTGTTTTCCATATGTTAGCTATTGGAAATAACGCTGCTATGAACATAGGGGTGCATATATTCTTTCTGATTGGTGTTTCAGGCTTCTTAAGATATATACCTAGAAGTGGGATCACTGGATCAAATGGCAGTTCCATTTCAACTTTTTTGAGGATACTCCGCACTGTTTTGCATAGTGGCTGTACCACTCTGCATTCCCACCAACAGTGTACCAGGGTCCCCTTTCTCCACACCCTCGCTAGCAAGTCATTTGTTGATTTATTGATGATAGACATTCTGACAGGTGTGAGGTGGTACCTCATTGTGGTTTTAATTTGCATCTCTCTAATGATTAGTGACTTTGAGCTTTTTTCATGTCCATTGGCCATTTCTATGTCCTCTTTGGAGAAGTCTCTATTCAGGTCTTCTGCCCATTTTTTTAATTGCATTGTTTGTCTTCCTTTTGTTGAGTTGTATGAGTACTTTATATATTTTGGAAACTAACCCCTTATCAGGTGTATCATTGGCAAATATGTTCTCCCATACAGCGGCTTCCCTTTAAACTTTGATGCTGGTTTTCTTTGCTGTACAGAAGCTTTTTAGTTTGATATAGTCCCATTTCTTTATTTTTTTCCTTGGTTTCTCTAGTCCTAGGCATTGTATCAGTGAAAATTCTATGTGAGATGTCTGAGATTTTGCTGCCTACCTTTTCTTCTAGGATTTTTATGGTTTCACAACTCACATTTAAGCCTTTTATCCATTTTGAGTTTATTCTTATGTATGGTGTAAGTTGGTGCTCTAGTTTCATTCTTTGCATGTACCTGTCCAATTTTCCCAACACAATTTATTGAAGAGATTGCCGTTATTATATTGTATGTTCTTGCCTCCTTTGTCAAATATCAATTGAGTTTAATGGCTTGGATCGATTTCTGGGGTCTATGTGCTGTTCCATTGATCTATATGCCTGTTCTTGTGCCAGTACCAGATTGTTTTGATTACAATGGCTTTGTAGTATAGTTTGATATCAGGTATTGTGATCACTCCAACTCTGTTCTTTCTCAAAATTGCTGCAGCTATTTGGGGTCTTTTTTGTTTCCATATAAATTTTTGGAGTATTCTAGATCTGTGAAATATGCTCTTGGTTTTTTAATAGGGATTGCATTGAATCTATAGATTGCTTTGGGTAGTATGGACATTTTAATGATATTAATTCTACCAATCCATGAACATAGTATATTCTTCCACTTGTTTATATCCTTTTATATCTCTTTTTTCATCATCCTGGAGTTTTCCAAGTACAGGTGTTTTACCTCTTTGGTTAAGTTTATTCCTAAGTATTTTAATTTTTTTGTTGCAATGGTAAATGGGATTTTTATTTTATTTTTATTTTTAGTTTCTCTTTCTGAGTGTTCATTATTGGTGTATAAAAATGCCATTGATTTTTGGTTGTTAATTTTTTATCCTGCTACATTGCTGAATTCATTTATTAAGTCTAGTAGTTTTTTGATGGAGTCTTTAGGATTTTCTAAGTACAATATCATGTCANTTTATTTTATTTTTATTTTTAGTTTCTCTTTCTGAGTGTTCATTATTGGTGTATAAAAATGCCATTGATTTTTGGTTGTTAATTTTTTATCCTGCTACATTGCTGAATTCATTTATTAAGTCTAGTAGTTTTTTGATGGAGTCTTTAGGATTTTCTAAGTACAATATCATGTCATCTGCAAATAATGACAGTTTTACTTCCTCCTTTCCAATTTGGATACTTTTTATTGTTTCTTCCTGTCTGATGGCTGTGGCTAGGACTTCCAGCACTATTTTGAACAAGAGTGGTGAAAGTGGACACCCCTGTCTTGTTCCCGTTCTTAGGGGAAATGGTTTTAGTTTTTTCCCATTGAGTATGATGTTGGCTGTAGGTCTGTCGTATACGGCCTTTATTACGTTGAAGTATGATCCCTGTATTCCCACTTTGCTGAGAGTTTTTATCAAAAATGGGTGTTGGATTTTATCAAATGTTTTTTCTGCATTTATTGATATGATCATGTAATTTTGTCTTTCAATTTGTTTATGTGATATATCACATTAATTGATTTGCAAACACTGTACCAGTCTTACATCCCTGGAATAAATACCACTTGTTCATGATGTTATGATCTTTTTAATATATTGCTGGATCTGGCTTGCTAATATTTTGTTGAGGATTTCAGCATCTATGTTTATCAGGGATATCGGCCTGTAATTCTCTTTCTTTGTAGTGTCTTTATCTGGTTTTGAAATTAGGCTAATGCTGGCCTCATAAAAAGAGATTGTAAGTGTTCCTTCCTCTTGGATTATTTGAAATAGTTTGAGGAGGATAGGTGTTAATTCTTCTTTGAATGTTTGGTAAAACTCCCCTGTGAAGCTGTCCAGACTAGGTGTTTTGTTTGCTGAGAGTTGGGGGGGTGGGGGGTTGTTTGTTTTTGTGTGTTTTTTTAAATTACTGCTTCAATGTCTTCAGCTGTTATTGGCCTATTCAGGTTCTCTGATTCTTCCTGATTGAGTTTTGGAAGATTGTATTTTTCTAGGAATTTGTCCATTTTGTTCAGGTTTTCCAGCTTGTTTGCATATAGTTGTTCATAGTATTTGCTTACAATCCTTCGTATACCTGTGGTGTCATTTGTTATTTCACTTCTTTTGTTTCTGATTTTATTTGGGTCCTCTCTGTTTCTCGATGAGTCTGCCTAAAAGTTCATCAATCTTATCATTTCAAAGAACCAGCTCTTGGTTTCCTTGATCTTTCCTATTTTTTTTTAAATTCTCTGTCATTTATTTCTGCTCTGATTATTATTTCCTTTCTTCTACTTACTCTGAGCTTTTTTTGCTGTTCTCTTTCTAATTCTTTAAGTTGTGGAGTTAGTTTATTAGAAATTTTTCTTGTTTCTTGAGGTAAGCTTATAGTGCTATAAATTTCCCTCTCAGGGCTTCTTTTGCTGTGTCCCACAGACTTGGGGTTGTTGTGTGTTCATTTTCATTTGTTTGCAGGAAGTTTTTTATTTGTTCCTTGATCTCATTGGTAACCCATTCATTGTTTAATAACATGCTGTTTAGCCTCAATGTGTTTGAATGTTTTGGGGTGTTTTTATTGTAGTTGATCTCTTTTTTCATGCCATTGTGATCTGAAAACATGCTTGATATGATTTCAATCTTCTTGAATTTGTAGAGACTTAGTTTGTTTCCTAACATGTGGTCTACCTTTGAGAATGTCCCATATGCACTTGAGAAGAATGTATATTCTGCAGCTGTGTGCTTAGGGGCATTGGGTCATGGTGGCAGTTCCAGGTACTCCATGTCAGGGTGGGGGGGCCAGTCATCCATGGGTGCCAGATTAGGTGTGGCTTGATTGGGTGGCAGATCCATGCATCTGGTGTGTCCGGTGTCAAGGCAGCAGAAAGGCCAGGCAGGCCTCTTTTCAAGGTGTCTAGGCAGGGCATACCAATCCTCAAGGTGGCAAGGCAATTGTGCAGCTTCTCAAGGGGGGAAGGGTGGGCAAGTGCTCTGCACCTGAATGGGGCTGGGTGGGCCAGGTGCTACTCAAGGTTTTGGCTTTGGCGAGGTCCGTGGCTCCTCAAGGGGTTTTTATTCTTTGTGAAAAATTCAAGCAACATAGAAGCATAAAGAGTACAGACATATTGACAGGAGACAATACTATGTGAATGAATCTGGCATGATATCTAACACATAATAAGTTTCAACAATGGTTTCACTTGTCCCATCCTCTTTCCCATCATAGACACACAAACATTAACATTCAAGTGCATTCACACATGGAAGACATACACACACACTCAAAAACTTAGCAAGGGGGTGAGAAAGCCATGATGCAGGGGTAACCCAGATAATTATACTGATTAGCCAGAGATGTCTCCCAGATTTGGCTTCTAGATTGTGGCGGGGGACATAATAGAGGGAAGAAAATGACAATGGCACATTTATGCTTTTAAAAATTCATTGATGAAGAGATTTGATTTTGACTTATAGTGGCATGCCACTATCAAAATGGAAGAAAACTTGGTTACCTGACACATTTTCTGGTGATACAATCTCTTTGACAGGAGCTAATGAAGTTGAATCAGAGCAGACCGAAATGGACGATTACAGAAAACGCATATTCGTTATAGTAGTTGGTGTTATGAGCACAGCGTTTATCTGTACCTCTTTTTGTTGCCTCCATTATAATTGTTTGAGCAAAGATGTCCCCAAAGAAAAACCGTAAGTTTTACACCTTGAATTAAGAATGCAAGGTGTGTGTATATGTATGTTTGTGTGTGTGTACGTATAGTGGAGGTTTCACTGTTGTGATGGTTACTTAATGTTAACTTTAGACTTCTAAAGAGCTACCAACACCTTGTGGGTGGATACCTACACTTAAATTATATCAGCTCTTAAATATTCTCAAGTACATTATCAACTTTAGCCAAAGTGCTCTCCTATTCAGGGTTCAGCTGAGCCCCAGTCTATTAATTTCATTATTGTTTATAATTTCATTATAAATCGAGTCTAGGAAAATAGGGCATGACTATCTGAATAAGATAGGGAGAATGAAAAAGGGGAGAGAGAGAAAGTTGGACCTGCTTTCCAAAGACAATGAAACATTTTGGATAATCTCCCATTTTAAGATGTATTAAAATAAAAAAATATTCACTGTTCTTATGATCTCAGTCCCTGCCTTTCATATAGGAGGATCAGGCTAGCCTTAATATAGTGATTCCTTCAATATTTCCCAACCCAAGGACTGATGACTAGAATATACCAATTCTTCTTTCCTTTAGTTTTAGAGGACTATTGTGAACATAAATATGCATGGATAGATGACTTGATGTTATAAATATAATAGTAAAATAAGACTTTGTTCTAAAGGGTTTATTTTTTATTGTGACAAGTTGTGATATTTGTATATCAGTTCTGTATCAACTTGTGACTTTTTTATAAAAGGTTTAATTTCTGGAATAAATGAAATTCTCTCTCAATAGTAGATTTACAGCTGTAGACTCTATAGTTATCTAATGTAGTTGAAACAGTAAAATACTAAAAAAAAAAATAGCATGAACTCAATGAGTTTATATATATATATATCTTTATTGATTTCAGAGAGAGGAAGGGAGAGGGAGAAAGAGATAGAAACATCAATGATGAGAGAGAGTCATTGATCGACTGCCTCCTGCATCCTGCACATCCCCCACTGGGGACGGAGCCTGCAAGCCAGGCGCGTGCCCTGACCGGGAATCGAACCATGATCTCCTGGATCATAGGCCAATGCTCGGCCGCTGAGCCATGCCTGGCTGGGCACAGTTCTTATCTGTAACCTGAGTCATGGCTTTCACCACACTCCAATTCTTACTGTGTTCAATTTCTCTACTAGAGCCAAAAAATAAAAAATAGCAATAATACTCTTTTATAATGTCATACTCCAAATTTTCTATATTTTCAGGGTCCAGGAAGATGTAGCAGCCAAGTCATCCAAGTCATCCAAAATGTCACTCAGTAAACACAAGACAGCCCATCAATACATTCCAGAGAAACAACCCATGCTATCTGGTATAGAAACGTTATCTGAGCCCTCAAGTCCAGAAAGATCATCCAGAACATCCGGTTCAGTTTCAGAAAAGTCATCTATACCATCTAGTACAGAAAAGTTCATCAAGCCATCAAGCCCAAAAAGAGTGTCCAGGTCATCCCACCTGGGGAAGTCATATAAAAAACACAGACTAGAAAAGTCACATAAGCTAGCTTATGCCTATAAGCTAGGCAGTCATGACCATTCATCCTATCCAAATCGGGCAGTCAGGCCACCTTCACCAGCCAGCCTACAATATCCACATGGGCCGACCAAACCACATCATTCAACCTGTCGACACAATCAAATATTGCTGCCAAAGTCATCCAGTTTAAAGAAATTTACCAAGTGTCCCAGACATCATAACCTAAAAAGAGCAGTTATTGCAGGAAGGGCAGACATGTTATCTAAGTCTCCATTAGTCAACTCTTGTCCATACTATAAGGAAAAACACCTTGCCCACAGAGCTACTACTGAGTGTTTGGTCAGTGATATTTATAGGGTCAAGAATACAAATGCTCAAAACATACCTTTTCCACGTGAAGTGAAGCCTTTTTCCAAGTCCTTTCGTAAGGTAGATTCCAGAGACAATGCAATCTATGGCAATGTGAAGGCCAGTGATAATGAGAGTGAGAGGGAAGTAACCATTTTTTGCAACATAAGCCTCAATGAAATCACTCGTAACAGAATCTCGAGTAATCGATGGCTCAGTAAAAACAAAAAACCCCGGTGAAGAAGCAAATTTATACCAACTATTTTATGCTTGCCTCCTTAAGATATACTATATAAAGGGAAAATCCACTTGGCAATCACTATCAAGATTAGTCCTTTCCATCTTCAAGGCAATTAATTTGAAAATATTAAATACATGACATAACAAATTACTTTATTGTGATTATTATTGCATTTTAGAGACTGATGACTCTTTTGATGTATCTTATTTTGATCTGATCACTTGGATGGGAACCATAAATATACACAAATCTAGAAAGGAATTGCAAAATGGGTACCCTGGACTCCTCCTTCTCTTGGATTTGCCCTCAAAGTCCCAACCCAATTAAGTTTATTTTTTAATGTTCACATACAGTCCTCACAATTTAAGATTGTCTTTCTGTAGTGTTCAGTGCTTGACAAAAAATGTCTCTGTGTGCTTGGTTCTGGTTTAGTTACGGAAACTCCTGATAGCTATTTGTAACACCCTGCCTCCTATGACTACTACCTAAAGTGAGGTTGCAGCCTCCAGCACACACACCTGGGGCTTCATGATACCAGTTTAAGTGTTCCAGTCTTCATAACTCTCAACAAGGCTTTTAATGATTTTTGTTGCCTTTCAAAATGGTAAAAGAATTTTCCCTCCTGTGCATTTTCAAAAGGTCCCAGTTGGAGGTCTGATGTCTACTCATTTTCCCTACATGGTACTGACTCACTGAGTGGGCAGGGGTGGGTGGACAGGGGAGAACCTTGGAGTTATATCCTCTAACTTCCCCCACTGAAGAGACGTTATTCTTGCCTTCTTCCAAGGGCATCACCGAGAAAAGCAAGCAAAGTCCTGTATTCCCAGCCTATATTCTAGTACAGTAAAGTTAGTCCCCTCTAACATCTAGCAGGCATAAGTTAAATGCAAGTAGCTGGCTTGTATTCGATGTGCACTATTTGTCAGACATTGTACTAGTAACTTTATGTTTGTGGGTCTGAAGGTTGCAATCAAGTTTGCTGATTCACTGAAAGGACTCACAATACTCAATAGCAGGTTATGCACATGGCTAAGGCATATTAGAGCAAAATTAGACAGGCCAAGAGCAACAGGAAAAATATATGAATCAGGCACATGCTTTTGAGTATTTCCCCATCTGGGGCCACCCATGACATGCTTTCTCTCTAGCAAGAAACTAGAAGGGCATGTGCAGATTGTCTCTGCCCAAGAAGGCCTATTTGAATCTCTGGGTCTGAGCCTTTTATTGAGAAGTGTTCACATAGGTAAATCATGCTACATAACCAGCCATGGCAACTGAAACTCAGGATCCCAACAATGAAATCATCAATGTTGATGCTCATGCAAAGCAATCCTGGTAAGCTAATATGGCATGGTACATTGCTCCGGGTGTACAAAACATAATCATCAACCATTAACATAAGACATTCTGAGAACCACATTCCCAGAGGTTGGCCAATGCTCAATCATGGTTCCAGGTTCCCTTGAAGACATATGAGGACTAAGCAACCATACCTGCTTTGTTAACACTTTCTCACACATCACATATTTTATTTAATGCCCAACAGTCTCTCACTATATGGGGGATTGTATAGATTAACCGAGGCTCTCTAACATATAGTAAGATCACATATAATAATTGGTTGAATTGAGATATGAATCTATGATTAGCTTACACTCCAATTTTCATTACGCTGTAATGCCTTTTCACTACCAGCTTCTAAGGTGCCTGCTTATTCACAGATCACACAATCCATTGGTGTAAGCAAAATGCCTACTTGACTTTTAAATAGTCTGGGCCATTCTCCCAGCCTTCTGGGGACATAAAAGATCTCTTATGTTCATTCATATCTGAATTCCCCATGGCCTCTGCCTCTACTGTTGGTTCCACTGTTGGGGTCTGCACCCATAAAGTCAACATGAAATTCACAGATGTCGCTAAGTAGCCGCTTATGTACAAAAGTTTTAAGCGATGTAATGTGCGTATAAATAGCATTGTGGGAGATTACAGATTTGATTTCCTACTGGCATTACCCTTTTTTAAAAGACAAAGTGTAAAGGGTTAGAAAAGTCTGGTCTTTTTAAAATTTACAAATAGAAGCAAAAGTTCTGATCTGATTTTTAAACTGTTTGTTCTGAAAAAAAAGTACAAAAGTAGAGCAAGTAGAACACCCATAAAAAGAAGTATTGCTCAGATTAAGCAATTATGTCTACATGGTCATTTTTGTTTCATTTATACTCCTATCCATTCCCCTTTCCATTTATATCTCTAAAAGACAATAACTTTTAAAAATACACAGACACAATACCATTATCTCATCTAAAAATTAACAATAATTTCTTAAGATAAATCATCCAGTCATTTTTCAAATGTTCCCATCCCTCTGCTAATTTTATTCTTTATACCTATATTCCTCTCTCTAGTTTTTCTTCTTTCTTCTTTTAAAGAAGGGCCTGTAACATTTCTTGCAATACTGGTTTGGTGGTAATGAACTCATGTAGTTTGTTTGGTTTTTGGTTTGGGAAGCTCTTTATTTCACCTTCATTTTAAACGCTAGCCTTGCTGGATAAGGTAGTCTAGGTTTCAGGTCCTTGTTTTTCATTACTTTGAATACTTCATGAAAATGCCTTCTAGCCTAAAGTGTTTCTGTTGAAAAATCAGCTGACAGCCTTACAGGAACTCCCTTATAGGTAAGTAACTGTTTCTCTCTTGCTGCCTTTAAGATTTTCTCTTTGACTTTAACCTTTGCCATTTTAATTACAATGTGTCTTGGTGTGGGTCTCTTTAGGTTCATCTTGACTGGGACTCTGTGCTTCCTGAATTTGTGTGACTTTTTCCTTCACCAGGTAGAGATGTTTTCTGTCATTATTTCTTCAAACAAGTTTTCTCTCCCTTGCTCACTTTCTTCTCCTCTGGTATCCACATGATGTGGATAGTGTTACTTTTCATGTTGTCCCCAAATTTCCTTAAAATATTCTCATTTTCTAAAATTCTTTTTTCTTGAAGAGACAGGATGGCGCCATAGGTAACTGCGGTACCTGCTGGCTCCCACAACCACATCAAAATTGCAACTAAAATACGGAACAAGCATGATTCAGAACCTCCTGAAATCTAGCTGAATAGAAGTCCTACAACTAGGGAACTGAAAAGCACATTGACACAGGTAGGAAGCACATCAAGATGGGGCAGAATAGGGGAAGAATTGTGGAGATGCAGCCATGGTCTCACACCCAGGTGCAGCAGTTTAACTGGAAGGGATATTTCAGTCGGTGGAGGTTTCCTGGAGGAGCAAGGGGTCTCAGCCCCACATTACACCCTCCAGCCCAGGGTTCCAGTGCCAGGAAGAGAAGTCCCCACAACTTTGGGCTATAAAAACTGGTGAGGATTGTGGCTGAGAGACATGGAGGCTGCAGGAGTCCCAGGCAGTTCCCCAGTCCGGAGCACAGACTTACTCAGATGTGCTCCCTTTGAGCTCCAGTACTGGGCAGCAGCTTGAAAGGAACCTGGAGCATTCAGAGAGGAACTAACTTGCCTGGAATCAGGCACAGAACTGTAGGGACAGCTTTCTTACAGACAGAAGGGCTGGAAGAGGCCATTGCTCCTTTGATGAGCCCGCCCCCCACAGAACCTGCAGGCAGGCACCTTCTCTGAATCTCCAGCAACCTGATTCATACCTTTTGCCCTTCCCTGGTGATTCCAGAGACTCCTCCCTACTTTCAAGCTCATCCAAGCCATTTCCGGTGGCTTTTCTATGCAAGTGGCCTCTCTAGCCTCAGACTTAGGATTTTCCTAAAAATCTCTCAAAGAAGCAGCAGCTGGCCTCAGCATGCCCCATACCTCTCAATAAGTAGCCTCAGGACTGGCACTAGCAGCAGCCTGCATTAGTTCATGGTTTGGCCTCTCCTGGACACCTCCAAGCCCAGCACAAGTAGCAGCCATTTACGGTTTGCTGTGTAGCTTATGCTGGGTGGCCCTGGGCAGGGCACAGGCAAGGGCTGACTCTGCACCTCCCAGGAGGCCCCAGAGACAGTGCACCTGGTGGTCAGACTCAACCACACTGGATTACAACCCTACCACATCCACTAGTGACACACTCAAGGGGTGGACTCGGTCACCACCAAAGCTTTGCTGAAGTAAATCCTGATCCATAGGGCTGTCTCCAGCACAGCAGCTCTTTGGCTGTAGTTGCAGCTGGTCCTCACAGCTAATTGGCCTGGGGNCAACTACAACAGGACAGTGCACACAGCCCACACAGGAGAGCACCTAGAAGGCCCAGCTCAGGTGGCTGGGGAGACTGAGCCACTGGGCCCTACTACACAAAGCTACTCTACCAATTCCAGGAGACATAGCAGCTCTACCTAATACATAGAAACAAACACTAGGGAGCAGCCAAAATGTGGAGGCAAAGAAATATGTCATAAATGAAAGAACAGAAGAAATCTCCAGAAAAAGAACTAAAAGAAATGGAGCCAAGAAAGCTACTAGATATAGAGTTCAAAACAATGGTTATAAGGATACTCAAGGATCTTAGTAAGACTATTAAGGAAACTAGTGAGATCATCAATAACATAATAAAGAACCAGTCAGAAATGAAGGCTACACTAGCTGAAAGGAAGACTAATTTATAGGGAATCAATAGTAGAGTAGAAGATGCTGAGAATCAAATCAGCAATTTGGAACATGAAGAAACAAAAAACATCCAACCAGAAGAGCAAAAAGAAAAAAGAATCCAGAAATATGAAGATAGTATAAGGAGCCTCTGGGACAATTTCAAGAGGCCCAACATTCATATTATTGGGGTGCCAGAAGGGGAAGAAAGAGGCCAAGACATTGAAAACCTATTTGAAAAAATAATGATCAAAAACTTCCCCTGCCTGGTGAAAGAAAGACTTACAAGTCCAAGAACTAAAGACAGCCCCAAACAAGAGGAACTCAAAGAGGCCCACATCAAGACATATCATAATTAAAATGCCAAAGGTAAAAGACAAAGAGAGAATCTTAAAAGCAGCAAGAGAAAAGC